AAAATAGCATAGGGTCAATTTTGGAAAAGGACTAAGGACCCATAAAGTCTTAACTTAAAAATTCTGCCCCTTCCCGTCTTAGTTCGCCCTTTTCTTCAGCCTGACAGTGCTTCAATATTTCGGGCATAACTTTTTACTCCAAGGTCGGAATTGGGCAAACTCAGTGGCGTTGGAAAGAGGACTCAAAGACCTTTAATTGGATAGGTAAAGGTCCACCTAATTCATTTTGAGCTAAAAGATATAACCATTTAAAGTTGACCCTTACAACTCACTAGTTCAAATGACTAGTTTCCGGACGTCACGGTCATTTCTCATCATTTCATCAAGTTCTCAACTCCAAAATCACATGTGAGGCTCTAGTTTCACTAGTTCGTTTTTAGGGTCGTTACAATGGTAATAACTAACTCAATTATTAATCATTAATTGGTCATTTTCTAATTCTTGTATAATAGTTGATATACCAATTATTCTTTTGTTGGCATAAAAATTTGGTATCTCTATTTTGCATATCTCTTCTTGTTGTCCGATGTCCTCGGGTATAATCATATCTTTAGTTAGTCCTATCTTGATAACCTGTATTGGAGGTTTTATTTCCTCGTATAATATCTCCGTTGGTGCTGTATAGAATTTTATATATAATAAATTTCCTTTTGTAACTCTTTTGAATGTGATGAATGTCTTGTGTAGTTCTGGTATTCCACTAACTTCTTCTCCGTCGTATGTGTATACGGTATTTAACAGTCCATAGTTGTAACATATTCTTACTAAATTAGCATTAGTTTTTGACCGTGCAATTAGCTTGTAATATCCTTGTAACTTTTGTGTCAAATAATCTTGGTTTGGTTCTTTTGTAGTTGATCTGGGGTTAAGGTTTAAATAAGTTTGGATTTTGTGTATATTTTCGATATAGGTTCGTGTGATGTAGTTATATGTCTTTTTCTCATTTTGGTTTTGAAAACTATCTGCGTATGTAGATGTTTGTGGTTCCATGGACATGTGTCTAGGTGTCCTTTGGGTAAATGGTTTTTCGAATAGCTGGTTTAAGTTCGCATTTTTATGTTGTTTATCACTAACTTGTTTGCTTGTACCTGCAGTTGTATTTAAACAAACATTATGGGTTTTAAGGAGTTTCCCATCGTCTCCTTTTAGCTCTGGGTTTTTTCCATCTTCCGATCGACGTAGCTCCGCATTTTTATAGTCATGCTGCTGACTAGCTTTAGACTTCAGATTATCTTCATTAGTCTTTAGCTTTTGTATCTCGTTGTCCAAACTATCCACTTTTGTACAAAGTGTAGTAATGGCTTTGAGTATCTTTTCAATTGTATCTTCTTCCTCAGTCTCAGTCTGAGTAGCTTTGTCGTAATAGGTAATCTGCAATAACATTCTTATCAGTTTTTATTACTTCAATTGTAAATGTAAAATTTAATATATTTAATACCAATCTCTTTATTTCTTTTGTTGTTACCGAATCTTGTATTTTTCTTGTTAACCATCATTTTACTTGTGTATTATCTGTTCTTATAATAAATTCGTAATATACAATATATGGTTCAAATGATAATAAACATTTATATACCGAATATAATTCTTTCCTATTTATTTCCCATCTTATTTCTGCATTAGTAAATGTTCTTGAATAATATCTACAATGATGTTCTATTTTTCCTTCTCCATACCTATATTTTAATACTCCTCCATAACTTTTTTCACTGGCGTCTAATTCTACCATATAAGTAAATTTTTTATTTTCATCTGGAAAATATAGTTTAGGTAGGTTCTTACATAATAATTTTATTTTTTGTATTTGTGTTTGGTCTTTCTTATCAAACTGGTATTCTACATCTTTCTTTAATTTTTGTTGTAATGGTTTTAAATTCTCTGCTAATTTTGGTACGTATTCTCTTACTTGATTTACTAGTCCTAGAAATAATTGTAATTTCTTTTTCGTATCTAGCTGTTCATTTGAGTTAATTATATTTTGTACTATATGTGTTTGCATTTTTATTCCATTTTTATCTATTTGTATTCCTAAGAATTCTATTTGGTTTTTCATTATGTCTGCTTTCTTTTTACTTAGACTTATGCCTGAATATTCTATAATATGTATGAATTTTTCTAATAATCTTATGTGTTCATCTTGATTTTTAGAATATAGTAATATATCATCAATATATCTACCTGGTGCATTTTATATCCAAATGGTAATACATTCTATTCATAGAATCTTTGTGGTACAGTGAATGCTGCTAGTTTTTTAGATTCTTCTTCTAGTTTTAAGTGATAAAATCCTAATTTACAATCAAATTTGCTAAAATAATTATATCCTTGTATTTGTCTTATCTTTAGTATTTTATTTGGTATCGGATAATTATATGTTTTAGTTTTTGCATTTAAATTTCTATAATCAATAACCATTATGCTTTTTCCTCTTTTTTGTTCACTATGTTTATTTACGATAAATGTCGGGCTTGTGTGCTTACTATTGCTTTCTTGTATATATCCTTTTTCTAGCAATTCATTTATATGTATCTTAAATTCGGTTAAATCATTAAAATTATACTTTAATGGTTTTTGGGTTATTATACTATTATTATCAATTAGCTCAATTTTTACTTTTGCTTTATGTTTTTCCCATCCTTGTAAAGGATCCTCACTATATAATAATTCTAATTTATCTTGGATTATTTTTATTTTATCTATAGAGAATATAATTAATTCTATTTTAGGGTCTTCTTCTTTTATATTTTCTAATTTTTGTGTATTTTTTTCACTTCCTTTTATCCATTCTGTTGTTTTTTATTTTTTATTATTTACTCTTTTTGCTCCTATTTTTTGTTTACACGGTGTTGTGAACCACCAGTGTGTTTTTGTTATTATATGTGGGTATAATTTTTCTAAAAATGGCATTCCTAATAACATATCTTTTGTAGTTAATTCAAAGTTATATATTTCCTCTATAGTTAATATCTTATCCCATATTTGTACTTTTATATTTTTTGGGCAGAACGCATAAGCGGCCCCTTGAACTTGTAAGGATTTTTCGTATAGACACCTTAACAAAGACTCCTTCCTATTGAACACTTAAACCACTCAAAAAGTGTACCTATCAAACACACTTGGCTGACTTGGCACTTATCGTGTGAGGCATTTGTTTTAAGGTGGAGCGCGTGACATTACACATCTCCTATGTGGAAAATCTAATCCTACGTGGTAATACACATCACAAAACACCCAACCCCACACCCAACCCCTCAGTCATTTCTCCTAATCCCCAAAACGTGTTCAAAAAAACCCTAGATATTCTTTCAAGATTCCCGCTCAATATGTGGTCGATTCAAGAAAGTTGATCAATAATCTTCATGTTTTCATCCTACGGCGTGGTCGATTCAATAAAATAATTCTTGTTGTTGTGTTTTAGGGCAGATTCGAGAAAGCAAGGAGATTTTGTGTTAAATCTTGTGAAGTAAGGTCATTTTCGAATCTTTATGACTATTGCTATCAAATTCCCCTTTAAATATAGCGTCTCTTTTGTATATTACTACAGTGATGATGTTTTGTACATATGTGAATAAAGTTTGAATTTTTTAGGGTTTCCTTGTCAGTAATTTGTCGGGTTTATTTGACTTTTTTTCTAGGGAATCTTATGAATATTATTATAGTAACTCGCTTTCACCATGGTGGTAAATTTGTGGAAGACACATCTGGTGGAGGTCTCACTTACATAGGGGAAAGTGAAGTGGACTATGTAGGTATCGATAAAGACCACTTTTCTTTAATGGAATTGCTTTTTTATACTAGAGATCTAGGGTATGTTACTGTGGGTGGGTTTTATTTTAAAGACCCTACAACCAATAACTTTGTCTTAGTGGATAACGATTTCAGCTTACTAAACCTTATAAAAGACCTAGGTGATGGTGACTTTTTGGACTTATATGTTCAACATGTTATAGATGAGGTAGAAATTATTAAAGATGGGGTCCTTACAGGTTATCTTTGTGGGCCAACAGTTGGTGAAATTATTAATGAGGATGGGGTAGAAAACTCACATAATATTAATGTGGATGAAGAGTTACAACAAAGAGCTGCCCAATCTGAGAATATTAGTGTTGAAGTTGGTGTTGATGAAAGGTTACAACAAGGAGCTACCCAATCTGAGAATATTAATGTTGAAGTTGGTGTAGATGATACATCAGATCTTGAAGGTGTTGAAACAAATTGGGATATTAGTGATGATTCACAAGAGTTTGCTATTCCAGATGATGATGACTCAGAGATTGATGAAGAGTTGAGAACTCTTAGAAATGAAAGAAGAACCAAATTGCAGAGGAAAAAACCTGATTCTACAGAGGAAATAATTCTTGGAGTAGCTGGTGTTGATAGAGGATTTGAAGACATTGGAAGGAACAAGGCTGCTAGGTATGTAGGAAGATTGGGGGGAGATGAGCAATATATTGATAGTTCAGAACTGGATAGTGATGACAGTAGGGATGAATTAGATCCTGAAGCTGTGGAAGGTGTTGATTTACCAGCTAGAAGAAAAAGTAAAAAGGTTAGATTTGATCCTGATTGTGTAGTTGCTATATTTGAGCTTGGTATGGTATTTGAAAATGCCATAGAATTTAGAAAGGCTGTTGCAGAGTATGCTGTGGAATATAAAGTCAGATTAAAATTGAGGCCTAATGAAAAACATAGAGTCAGAGTTAAATGTCAGCATAAGAAATGCAAATGGTTGTTGTATGCTAGTCTAGACAAAGACTCTGGTGACTTTATTGTTAAAAATTACTATCCTGTTCATCAGTGCCCTACCACAACCAAAAACAAGTTGTGTACATCTAACTTTATTGCGAATAAGTTTAGGGCCATAATAGTTTCTCAACCTTATATAAAGTTGTGGGAAATTCAAGAGTTGGTGAGGAAGACGACAGGATTGTATGTTGGAAGAACTCTTTGTTATCGGGCAAAAATTGATGATTCTCAAGGAGTTTATGGGTGATTGGAAGATGGAGTTTGCAAGGTTGTGTGATTATGCAGACATGATAAAACAGACTAATCCTGGTAGTTCATGTTGGGTGAGGACAGACATGGAATCTACTCCAGGAAAGAATATGTTTGTTTACTTTTATGTTTGTTTTGATGCATTAAAGAGAGGTTGGTTGGAAGGATGTAGAAAAATCATTGGTTTTGATGGATGCTTTCTGAAGGGTGCTTGCAAGGGTGAATTATTAGTTGCAATTGGTAGGAATGGAAATCAACAAATGTTTCCAATTGCTTTGGCAGTTGTTGATCAAGAAACAAAGCACAGTTGGAGGTTCTTCATCAACTTCTTGATACAAGATCTAAACTTAGGCACTGGACATGGATTGACTGTGATGTCTGATATGCAAAAGGTTAGTTTAATGTTCATTTTATTTAATTTTGATCTCATTGCCTATTTATTTAATTATTATTAGTCATAAATTTCAATTATTATGATATGTATGGTCTTGTAGCAGCCATAATGGAGTTGCTGCCAGATTGTGAGCAGAGGATGTGTGCTAGACACATCTGGTCCAATTGGCAGAAGAATTGGAGAGGAGAAGAAAGAAGAAAACAGTTCTGGAGATGTGCAAAATCAAGTTTTGAGGTAAAATTTCAAGATGAAATGGATAAACTTGATAAACTTGGTAATAAGATCTGTGGAGACTTGTTACATTATGAAAAAAAGACATGGTGTAAAGCATATTTTAAGGAGCATGCTAAGTGTGATGTTGTTGAGAATAATATGTGTGAGACATTTAATTCTTGGATATTAGCTGCTAGACATAAATCAATTATCACCATGTTAGAAGAAATTAGACATAAGATAATGGATAGAAATGTTGAGATGAGAAAATTTGTTGACACTTGGATATCAGACATTTCTCCTATGGCAAGTTTAGTACTTGAAGAAAACAAAGATTATGCTAGAGATTGTCAAGTTAGGTTCAATGGCCAATTTGGATATGAAATTTTAGATGGTCATTATAGGCATATTATTGATATCAGAAAGAAGACATGTACTTGTAGAACCTGGCAGTTGAGAGGCATACCATGTCAACATGCTATTTTGGCTTATCAGCATGCAGGCCAAGACCCTGAAGATCATGTTGTACATTGGTATAGAAAAGATACTTTCATGAAGGCATATAATTACTTTATCCAGCCAATACCTAACATGAAAATGTGGCCTCACACTAGTGATATAGTGATTGAGCCTCCTGAACCAAAGCAAATGCCTGGAAGACCACCAAAATGCAGAAGAAAGTCAAAGGTGAGCCAAGAAAGAAGTATGGAAAGTTGTCCAGAAGAGGTGTAAACATGACTTGCTCCAAGTGTCATCAACAAGGCCACAATAATAAAGCCTGCAAATATGTGGTAATACTCAAGCAAACCTTTAATTACTTCAATTAAATAGATAAAATGCAATACAATTTTTCTTCTTCTTATTTACACTATTAAGTCTTCTGAAATGGGTCAGCCTGGAAGCTCAAGCCAACCTGCTAGCTCAAGTCAGCCTCAAAGCTCAAGGCAACCTACAAGTTATAGCCAACCACCAAGCTCAAGTGTAGGTTCTAGCTAGCCACCAAGCTCAAGGCAACCAAGAAGCTGTAGCCAACCACCAAGCTCAGGCCAACCTGTAGGTTCTAGCCAGCCACCAACCTGGAGAACATCACAACATGTTAGCTCAAGCCAACAATCAACTTCTATCTGTGATGATACTTCAATTGTTAGAAGAGTTCAACAAGCTGGAAAAGGCAGGGGAAAAGGCAGGGGGAGAGGAGGTGATGATACTTCAACTGTTACAAGAGGGCAACAAGCAGGAAGAGGTAAGGGAAGAGAAGGAGCATCAACATCAACACGAGGAAACAAAAGGCCTAAGACTGTGGGATTTGGCATCTACACTGATGATCTAAGTGGCAGACAAACATTAAATGTAAGAGTATAACCAACTTCAATTATTTATAATCCACTTTTATAATAGGCACTTAGTTTAGTTTCTTGTATACAGCCTGGTACAACAGGTGAAAGAGTTGTTACTCCAGCTGTTTTCAAGTGTGCAACGCCAACAAATATTGATATTGGTTATAAGCCTCGTGGACTGAAATGGAAGGGTAAAGATGCTGTCACCACTCCACAATTACAACGCATGAGTAAGTCCAAAGGGGGTGGATCTGCAAACGTCTAGTGTAACAAGAGCAAGAACAGCTGGGTGTGACTACTATAATATGTTTTAGGTGTTTTTGATGTACACTTGGGGGTTGTTTTATTTGAATTTGTAATGCAAGCAGGAAATAATACTAAGACTGCTTTAATATGTTTTGTGATGTTTGTGATGTTTTTGATGTACACTATAACTAGTGGTTTAAATGTGGATATTTTCTTACAAGGAAATGCCAAGAATTTTTTGTCAATCATTCATGCTTGTTTGGAGCTTAATGTTATTGGTTGTTCACTTAGTATGGTTATTGTTCTTTGGAGGTGAAGAAAGCAAGGAAGAAGCTTGAATGTCACTTAAGGCATCTCTGTATCCTCTTTGCGACGTGGAGAGGAATTATAATTTGGCTCATGAAATCAAATTCCAGGCAGAGCACTCCGTTCCCTCTCCGCGAGGGATTCCTAAATTGATTCAACAAAGCAAGTTTGAGGCAGAACACTCTGTGGAGTGCCCACGTCGTTGAGATGAGCAATTGTGTGCGAATAGAAATTTAAAGATGCCTCCGCGTCGCGGAGATGAGCAATACGATAGATTAATGAACAACTTATCTCCATTCCTTCTTCCAAAATCAGTACAACAAAAACACAAGACTACTAATACAATCACTCTAAGACTACTAACATAAATATTTCCATATAGCAAAAATCACGAGTGCAATAACGCATATGATCCTGATTTTTCTTGCTTGCTTCCTCTCTTGTTCATAGGATTTGATTCTTTTCAATAGACCCCATATGATCTTTTTTGCTTGAGGTGGTATTTCATCATCGTACCATCGAAAATAATCGCATCCATATTTTCTCTACATAAATTATCAAAATAATTAAACTATAATTAGTGATTGACAACGATTTGTTTAACCAGATTAGAATAATGATAAAAAGCTTACCTTTGTGTTTTTGCAGCAAAAAAATCGACGTCCTGTATTAAGTTGTGTCCATGAAATTTTCAATTCAGCATTGACCCCACATCGACAGAACACATTTGCATCTGAAGAAGTTGAAATCGACAAATTGGACATTTCCTTCGCTGTGAAGAAGACGAATGAAGAACTTTTTTTTATCTCCACTGTAGCAGCAACAATGGTGAGATGTGGAGAAGAAAGAGATGAGAAATAAATAAGGGGAAGAATCTAGGGTTGGATAAATAAAAGGGGAAGATTTTGACCATATGTTAAAGTGTGCCAATCAGACACATCAGCTTTTTTTTTCTCACTTCACGCGCTCAAAAGGAGTGCCTCACACGATAAGTGCCAAGTCAGCCAGGTGTGTTTGATAGGTACACTTTTTGAGTGGTTTAAGTGTTCAATAGGAAGGAGTCCTTGTTAAGGTGTCTATACGAAAAATCCTTACAAGTTCAAGGGGCCGCTTATGCGTTCTGCCTATTTTTTGCCTTATATGTGATCATGCTTCCTTCATTATTAAATCTTGTTACTACTATCGGTGCTTTTAATTTTTCCCATTGATCTTTTGGTAAATAATTGTATTTACATATATTAGTTTCTGCTCCCGTATCTATCATTGGTGTATAATATCTGTTGTAATATCCCTCTATTATTATCTTTGCAAGTATGTATATTTTCATTCTAAGGTTCTTTTTATTATTACTCTTTTATTTTCATATTTATTGTTAACTGTTTGTCTTCTAGATTATATGGTTTTACTTGTTCTAGCCATTTAATTCTAAAATGATATTTTCATCTCCTTGGTATATTTTTAAATTTTATCACTATTGGTACTCCTCCAATGATTATTTCCTTTTCTGTAGTTTCTTCGATATAGATTAATGCTTTTGGTAATTCGGGGCATGATTGTTCAATAGTTATTATTTCATCTTCCGTCACTAATTCTCTTGTAATATAGTTTTCTTCTCGTCCTTTATCTATTAATATTAAATATTTTCGTTGTTCCATTATTCCCGTTGTGTAGTAATGATGTGGTTTTATTACTTCTTCCATTCATTTTTGTAGAGTTTTATCTATTCTTCTTGAGGTACTCATTTTTGATGAGATTTGTAGTATTTCACAGTTTATGTTTATTCTTTTTAATGTACTTAATCTTTCTTTTACTATTTCTAAATCATCTTCTATGTCAATCTCATTATAACTATAGTCATTCTTGTCTATGACTGTGACTATTCTTTCAAAAGGATCTTCTATTTTTATTTTTTTTATTTTATTTTTTGTTGTTATTTTATGTTCTGTTGTTAGAACATATAAGTTTTTACATCTAGCTGTAAATATTTTACTTCCTGGGCTAGTTCTATCCCTGACATTCTCCAATATAATACTAGTGATTTATCTATATTTCCGTCGTTTATTGCTACTGAGTAGTTAGCACTTATTATAAATTTAATTTTTTGGTATATGAGGTTACCTCTTACTGCACTTATTATACTTTTTTCTATGGGTTGTATAATTCTATCATCCGCTAAGTATATTTCTATGGATGTATCTATTCCTTCTCTAAAACATGCTTTTGTTAGTATTTTTGTTCCTCCTAAATGTACATATTTAATTGCATTTCTAGCCTTAATATCTTGTATTTCTTTATTTATTATTCGTTTATTTATTATTGGTATTTTGGCCTTTCCTTTAGTGTATTTGCAATCTATGATATGTTCTCTTTGACTTACTACATAATATTCTTATTTTTGTCGTTTAAACCAGTTTCTTATTGTTGGTATTTCAAATATTTTTGCTATGCTTAGGTCTAATTCTTTTCCTTTTATTTGTTGAAATATACTATTATCATATATTATTTTTTGTTCTAAAGATTCTTTGTCTTGATGTTCTTCTTTATTTATTATTTGTATATCTGCTTCAGTCATTTGTTATATTATAGAATTCATTGTCTGATTTTATTTCTATATCATTATCTATTTCATTTACTGATATTTCATATATGCTGTCTTCACTTTCTAATTCATAATCTATGTATTCTATTTGTGTATATATTTCATCGTCTATTATTATTTCTGATATTTGTTTTTTCTTTGGATTTTTAGATAATTTACAATCTCTAGCTATATGTCCTAATTTTCCACAATTATAACAAGTACATTCCGTTAGTTTTCTTTTTGGTCTATATGATCTTTTGGTTTTGTAATTTTTTACATTGTACCTTCTTCTTTGTTTTTTATATTTATATTTTGATCTATATTTTTAATTATATTTCTTTCTATTTTTATAATACCTATTCGTACAACCAAATTGAGGTGTTGTTTTATTTTTGTAACATGCCAAGTTTCTTACTAATACTTTTTCCATTTTTATTTCTTCTTTTTGTTTTCCAAATATTTCCATAAACCATCGTTGTAAGAATTTTATTCTAGCTCCTAAGGTATCTGTTAATCCTGCTTCATTCCAACTTTTTATTACTTTTGAATTAAAAGTTTCTGATAATTTTGTAAAATATAATTTTCTTATTTCTTTACTTTCGTCTATGCTATATGTTCCTTTATAATAGTATTCTCTAAATGCACATGTATATTCATCTATATAACACATGTTACATATTGCTAATTTTGTCATTAGATTCCTGTTTATGATTTTTTCTTTATTTTGTTCTTCTACTTTTGTTGTCGTACTACTAAATTCGTTTCTTATAGCTATCTCGTATTTATATAATATTTTCATAGTTGTTTTCGCTATCTCACCATCAAAATTTTTTATTACTTCTTAGAGTTTGTAAACTTTCATCTGATAAATTTTGTAGCCATAATTTTACTGTTACTATAAGTGTTCTTTTTATGTATCCTGGTGCCTCTGTTATTAGTATCTTGTTATCTATTAATTGTTTTGATATGTATCCCATCCATAATTGGATTGTTTTATTTATATCTGCTACATAGTCTAAATCTAAAAAATCATGTTGTCCAGTTATTGGTTTAGGCGTCCATTTTTTACTTAATCTTTTATCCCATGTAGTTTTTTCTTTATCATACTGTTCATAGTTTTCATTATAATATCTTGGATTAAAATTTTTAGGGTTTTTTACTCCTGATGTGCTAGGTTTTTCGTCCATGTCTACGTCTGTTGTATTTACTTCTAAATTTTTTGTATTATCTATGTTTGCTAAAAGTTCCGTATATGTTTCACT